TTTTGCCCCATATCAGAACTGGTTTTAACAAGAGTATAAGTGCATTTATTGGCTCATTTAAAACAATCAGTACTTCTGCATGGAATAGATTACTGTTGTCTATATATATACCTAAGAGAGAACTTCTCATTGGAATCACACCGCCCAAAACAATAACCACAGCCTTATAATCAATGCTCCCAGAGCTTTGGTGAGGGCCAGTTCTACTATGCAACAGCCTAAGAAGATGCCCAGAGCAGGGGAAGAATGATTTGGATTATAACTGCCATAAGCTCCAGACATCAGAGTCAAAAATGTATGATGGCCAGCAAACTAAGAAGAGGAACTGTTCTTAGAGGATTGATGATAAGGCAACTCAAATGACTGAAAAGAAAAGAAATATTATACTAATATGATTATTATTTTTTAGGAATATTGGAAAAATTATATACTTAATTGTCATTTATTAAAACAATAAGAATTGTATTAATGTTTGCAAAAAAAGGATGTTTTGGGAAAGAGGAAATCAATTAAAATTAATATATGGAATACAGATTATAGAAATCAATTGTTAAGGAGTGTTTTTACAAATGTAACCCAGACAACACACTGTTTACCAATTATTGAGTGACTTATGCTTGTTAAAAAGTAACAATAAAATATATTTAAAAAGAAAGAAAGAAGAGGAACTGTTGGGTTTCTTTGAATCTCTGACATCCATTCTTCAGTCCCTAAGCTTCAAAAGAGGGCAGGCATGTTTGCTTCCTCTTTTGCCTGAAATGTAGCCATAAATTATAGTCACTGATGAGAACAGTCTTGGGGGAAAAAAAAACCACGGGATATGATTTTTATAGAAACCTGTACCATAATTTGCAATTAGAAATCTGGAAAATTGGTTGTTATTGTCAATCTTTATTCTACCCATTTTTTTTACAGAAATACTGAAAGAAACCCCTGAAATGCATCCATACTTTGGGATTTCCTTTGTACTTCTTAGCATATCTAGGAGACGGGGTTATAGCTAACTTTACCCGTTCAGAGCATGGTCGATAAGGGGGAAGATATGTAGCGCTGAATTCATAGCAAATCAACAATTATTTAGTTAATAAGTTCTCTTTAGAATTGTATTCACCATTGACTAAACTCCTGTGGACAATTCCCTGGAGCAATAAAATGTTTACAGTTGTTTTATTATCAAGATACTTATAATCCAAAATATGTCACAGTAGTGCTCAAACCCTACTGTGGAATGATTGGGAAAAAAACCTTTCTTTTTTTGGAGAGAAATCAACAACAATTGAATTGAAACTTCATCTCCAATCAAACCACAAAGGATAAGAACTATAAAAGAAATACCTGGTTGGTTTTAAAACTACAATTCCATCCGCTTTGGGATCCTGTTCTCTTTTGCAAAGCTTCGAAATAGGTTCCTATGGAATCTATGGAAAAAGAAACCAAGATCGTCTCAGTTCATTTTCTGTTTAGATTAAAACAGATCATTCACCCATAGATGCAGAAGGGGAACTAGCAGCTTCTGATGAGGTGAGTCTCAGCTCTTTTACTTTAAAAATTAGATGGATGATTTCTACTATTCCCATCAATTCCTTTGCAAGCCAAGAGGTTTTTAGATTCCAAATTGTTGCCTCCACTAAGAGATGAAGTAACTTGATAAACAATGGCTTTAGTCACAGACTCTAATCTTCACCTTCAACATAGGATGCCCTTTAGATAACACAGTGCTTGGTTTCCATCTCTCACCCTCTCTGTTTAGGATGATCAGGTGCAAAAGAGGGCAGCAAAGTTCCACATGTGAAACTGAAACTATTTTGGAAACTGTGTTTGTCACTCAGATGGGAGACAAGGAGCATTCTGAAATCAGTTATGTTATACAACTAACATAGCTGTTATCTTCCTGTACCTCTCATTGTCGTTTGCATTGGTGTGAGTGTAGATTAACCATCATCAGAATACTTAAAAGAGCCAGTCTGATGTGATGGTTAAAAGGCATCAGGCCAGAAATTGTGAGCCCATGAGTTCTAGTCTGTCTTGGGCATGAAGCCAGTCTTGTGATCTTGGGATACTGTCTCTCAACACTCGGAAGTGTGCAAGGGCAAATCACTTCTGAAAATCTTGAAAAACTCTGTGGAATTATGCAGGCAGTCATCAAGAGTCAAGGAACGATTCAAGGTTAGCAAAAACAACAGCAACAATAACGAAGAAGAAGAAGAAGAAGAAGAAGAAGAAGAAGAAGAAGAAGAAGAGGAGGAGGAGGAGGAGGAGGAGGAGGAGGAGGAGGAGGAGGAGGAGAGTATTTAAGTGTTGAGCTCTGTTGAGCCAGTCCTTATATCTTTATCTAACAATAATAACCTTCAAGTTTAGTATAATGAATGGGATGCTTGCAAAGAGGCCAGGAAAAGTTGTTAATTGAGTTTTTCAACTTAATAGTAAAAATATGACATATTTAACTCATAGAACCTGCAGCTGGAAGTAAAGATGGCAATGATAAATAAAAAGCAGTTCTAATAAAATAAATTTCAGTGAGGAATACTTTTTTAATTGAGTCCACCTCCCCCCCCCCCTTATAATAAGAGTCAGTCTGGTCTCAGCCTAAAGATACTTTATCCAATGTTCTAAAGATACAGCATCAAACAAAATTGGTCTGATTTAAAGGGAACAACTAGGACAGTTTCAAGGATTTGGAATAATGTCAAATGCGACTCAGATTAGACAGCTACAAGAAATTCATTTTATGAATTTTAATATGAAAAGAATAAGATTGTTGGCAGATCTAGAGTGTTAATATTTCCCATGAATCTCCAGGGGAAGGTTTGAAGGAGTACTTTATGATTTGGATTACAAATATTCTATCAGCCCTCAAACAGAACTTGAATAAAAGAATAATAGAGTTGGAAGGGAACTTGGAGGTCTTCTAGTCCAACACTCTGCTCAAGCAGGAGATCCTATACTGTTTCAACAAGTGGTTGTCCAATCTCTTTTTAAAAACATTCAGTGTTGGAGCACTCAGAAATTCTGGAGGCAAGTCGTTCCACTGATTAATTGTTCTAACTGTAAGGAAATTTCTCCTTAGTTCTAGGTTGCTTCTCTCCTTGATTAGTTTCTCTCCATTGTTTCTTGTCCTGCCCTCAGGTGCTTTGGAGAATAGATTGACTCCCTCTTCTTTGTGGCAGCCCCTTAGATATTGGAACACCACTGTGATATCATCCCTACTCCTTCTTTTCATTAAACTAGACATACCCAATTCTTGCAACTATTCTTTATATGTTTTAGCCTCCAATCCCCTGATCATCTTTGTTGTTCTTCTCTGCAATCTTTCCAGAGTCTCAACATATTTTTTACATCGTGGTGACCAAAACTGGATGCAGTATTCCAAGTGTGGCCTTACCAAGGCATTGTAAGATACTTCACGTAATCTTGAATCTATCCGTCTGTTAATGCAGCCTAGCACTGTGTTGAATTTTTTGGCAGCTGCAGCACACTGCTGGCTCATATTTAAGTGATTGTCCACTAGGACTCCAAGATCCCTCTCACAGTTACTACTATTGAGCAAGGTACTGCCTATACTATACCTGTGCATTTGGTTTTTCTTGCCTAAATGTAGAACCTTACTTTTTTCACCATTGAATTTCATTTTGTTAGATAGCGCCCAATGTTCAAGTCTGTCAAGATCCTTCTGTATCTTAAGCCTGTCTTCTGGAGTGTTGGCTATTCCTGTCAGCTTGGTGTTGTCTGCAAATTTGATGAATTCTCCATCTATCCCCTCATCCAAATCATTGATGAAGATGTTAAAGAGCACTGGGTCCAGTACAGAGCCCTTTGGTACCCCACTACACACTTCCCTCCATGTAGATGCAGTTCCATTGAGGACCACATGCTGAGTATGGCTGGTCAGCCAGCTACGAATCCATCTGGTGGTGATGCTGTCTAACCCACATTTTTCTATCTTATCAAGTAGTAGGTTGTGGTCTACTTTATCAAATGCCTTACTGAAGTCTAAGTAAATTATATCCACAGCACTCCTCTGGTCCACTAATTTTGTCACTTGGTCAAAGAATGCAATAAGATTTGTCTGGCATGATCTGTTTTTGACAAACCCATGTTGGCTTTTGGTAATGACTTTGTTTGCCTCTAGGTGTTCGCTGATTCATTGCTTGATTATCTTTTCCAGAATCTTCCCAGGTATTGAGGTCAGGCTGATAGGTCTGTAGTTTCCTGGATCCATTTTTTCCCCTTTTTTTGAAGATAATCAGCTCTTTTCCAGTCCTCCGGTTGTTCCCCAGTGCTCCAGGATGTTTGAAAGATATAGTTCAGTGGTTCTGAGATCACATCTGCCAGTTCCTTGAGAACCTTGGAGTGTAGTCCATCTGGTCCTGGTGATTTGAACTTGTCTAGGGTGGACAGATGCTCACTTACCATTTTCTTGCCTATCTTAATTTGTGTTTCTAATCTGTTTTTTATGGGACTATTTTTGATAGGTTGGACTGTTTTTCCCTTTGTGTAAATACAGATGCAAAAAAACGAGTTGAGTAGTTCTGCTTTTTCCCAGTTGTTTGTCACCTTCCTGCCACTTTCTCCCACTAATGGAGCAATAATTTTCTTAACTGTTCTCTTGTTTTTTACATTTTGAAAGAAGCTTCTTCATTATTTGCTGAAATTGTCAATTTATAATGCAGTGAATCACTGTTATTGGGTAATTATATTCACAGATGTGTTTGGAATCTTGTGGATAATTGAGACATATTGTGTAAAAGGAAGAATATGCTAGCTTAAAATATGTGGGTGTAGGTTTGTATATGTGTGTTTCTGTGTGTGTGCAATACTGCCATATCAACCCGAAAGTAAATAAGGCCAAAGGGAAAAAAGTAAAAACATCCATGCTGAGACCCACATTAGAAATAAAATTATCATATACAGTACATCTATAGCCCTCCCTCAGGAGATCAAAGAGAAATGTTTAATTACATCAGGTATTAATCTCTTTCTCATTCATTTTCAGCTGTGGAATGGCTAACCAGAACCAAACAGACAACTCAGAAATAACCCTTTTGATGATCTCCAGTAGACCTGAATATCAGAGACTTTTCTTCCTGCTTTTTCTGTCTATTTATTTGTTGACCCTTCTAGGGAATATTCTCATTGTCTTGCTTATCCGCTTAGACAACCGTCTCCTTCGGTCCCCGATGTACTTGTTCCTAAGCCACCTCTCCCTGGCTGACATCATTTTTGTTTCCACTACTGTTCCCAAAATCCTGATAAATTTGATGTCTCAGACTCAGACCATCACCTTCAATGAGTGCTTGACCCAGATGTATTTCTTTCTCGCCTCTGGTAACACAGATAATTTCCTCCTTGCCTGCATGGCTTATGACCGCTACGTGGCTGTCTGTCATCCTTTGCATTACGTCACTGTGATGAGCCACAGGTGCTGCCTATTTTTGGTTTCTGGATCCTGGATCGTTTCCGGTCTCCACTCTTTACTCTATACACTTTTGATTTCACGCCTTTCTTTCTGTACCTCTGTGGAAGTCCCCTATCTTTTCTGTGATGTCTATCCTCTCCTGGAATTCTCCTGTTCTGATACAACACTCATAAAAATCTTGGCACAGACGGAAGGGGTGGTGGATTTGCTGGGACCTTTAGCTGCCATCATTGTCTCCTATGCGCTAATATTCTCCACAATCATAAAAATTCCCTCAACCGCTGGGAAATACAAAGCAGTTTCCACCTGTGGCTCACATCTGGCTGTGGTGATCTTGTTCTACAGCACTATCAGTTGCCTTTATTTCCAGCCTCCCTCTGCGTATTCAGCCCAAAAGGGCACATTTATCTCTCTCTTGTATGTAGTGGTGATACCAATGCTGAATCCCTTCATCTATACACTAAGGAACCAGGAGGTAAAGTCAGCAATAGTGAGACTTCTCGGTAGGACGAGAACTTTCTTAAGGAAATAAGAACAGAGCGACATTTCCATGGTTGCTGGGTTTTTGGGGGAGGGGGAGGAGGTGAAGGATACTAGGGCCTTTAGCCATCTTCATTACCTCCTATGCTGATATATTTTCTACAATTATCATAAACATTCCTTTTAAAACCTAGGAAGCTGAAGGCCTTTCCCCTCTGCAGTTCTGACTTAATTCTGGTAATCTTGTTCTTTGGTAGTATTGATTTCTAGCTTGCCTCTGTTTACTCAACCCACAAACAACCTTTGTCTGGGACAGTGACATTTGTGTTGAATCTATTCATCCAAAACCCATAGAATCAGGACACAGAAAGAACTATAGTTAGAATATAATAGGGATTTATGGAACGAACTACCCCCAGAGATCCGGGTGATTCCGGATCTCTCCTCCTTCTGCCGCGCCCTCAAGACATGGCTATTTAAGCTAGCAGGACTGGCCTAAGGGTGATCTTAATTTGGTTTTAAAATAATTTTAAAAAAGAAAAGGCCAATAATTTAATATTCTATTTTAATTACATTTTAAATTTAGTATTTTGTATTTGTACCTGTTTTAGATGGCTGTAAGCCGCCCTGAGTCCGCTGGGAGAAGGGCGGNGAGGAGGAGGAGGAGGAGGAGGAGGAGGAGGAGGAGGAGGAGGAGGAGGAGGAGGAGGAGGAGGAGAGTATTTAAGTGTTGAGCTCTGTTGAGCCAGTCCTTAAACTATTTGATTTATGTTATCTTTATCTAACAATAATAACCTTCAAGTTTAGTATAATGAATGGGATGCTTGCAAAGAGGCCAGGAAAAGTTGTTAATTGAGTTTTTCAACTTAATAGTAAAAATATGACAGATTTAACTCACAGAACCTGCAGCTGGAAGTAAAGATGGCAATGATAAATAAAAAGCAGTTCTAATAAAATAAATTTCAGTGAGGAATATTTTTTTAATTCAGTCCACCTCCCCCCCCCCTCATAATAAGAGTCAGTCTGGTCTCAGCCTAAAGATACTTTATCCAATGTTCTAAAGATACAGCATCAAACAAAATTGGTCTGATTTAAAGGGAACAACTAGGACAGTTTCAAGGATTTGGAATAATGTCAATTGCGACTCAGATTAGACAGCTACAAGAAATTCATTTTATGAATTTTAATATGAAAAGAATAAGATTGTTGACAGATCTAGAGTGTTAATATTTCCCATGAATCTCCAGGGGAAGGTTTGAAGGAGTACTTTATGATTTGGATTACAAATATTCTATCAGCCCTCAAACAGAACTTGAATAAAAGAATAATAGAGTTGGAAGGGAACTTGGAGGTCTTCTACTCCAACACTCTGCTCAAGCAGGAGATCCTATACTGTTTCAACAAGTGGTTGTCCAATCTCTTTTTAAAAACATTCAGTGTTGAGCACTCAAAAATTCTGGAGGCAAGTTGTTCCACTGATTAATTGTTCTAACTGTAAGGAAATTTCTCCTTAGTTCTAGGTTGCTTCTCTCCTTGATTAGTTTCTCTCCATTGTTTCTTGTCCTGCCTTCAGGTGCTTTGGAGAATAGATTGACTCCCTCTTCTTTGTGGCAGCCCCTCAGATATTGGAACACCACTGTGATATCATCCCTACTCCTTTTCATTAAACTAGACATACCCAATTCTTTCAACTATTCTTTATATGTTTTAGCCTCTAGTCCCCTGATCATCTTTGTTGTTCTTCTCTGCAATCTTTCCAGAGTCTCAACATCTTTTTTACATTGTGGTGACAAAAACTGGATGCAGTATTCCAAGTGTGGCCTTACCAAGGCATTGTAAGATACTTCACGTAATCTTGAATCTATTCATCTGTTAATGCAGCCTAGCACTGTGTTGAATTTTTTTGGCAGCTGCAGCACACTGCTGGCTCATATTTAAGTGATTGTCCACTAGGACTCTGAGATCTCTCTCACAGTTACTACTATTGAGCAAGGTACCCCTATACTATACCTGTGCATTTGGTTTTTCTTGCCTACCTTACTTTTTTCACCATTGAACTTCATTTTGTTAGATAGCGCCCAATGTTCAAGTCTGTCAAGATCCTTCTGTATCTTAAGCCTGTCTTCTGGAGTGTTGACTATTCCTGTCAGCTTGGTGTTGTCTGCAAATTTGATGAGTTCTCCATCTATCCCCTCATCCAAATCATTGATGAAGATGTAAAAGAGCACTGGGCCCAGTACAGAGCCCTTTGGTACCCAACTACACACTTCCCTCCATGTAGATGCAGTTCCATTGAGGACCACATGCTGAGAATAGCCGGTCAGCCAGCTACGAATCCATCTGGTGGTGATGCTGTCTAGCCCACATTTTTCTATCTTATCAAGTAGTAGGTTGTGGTCTACTTTATCAAATGCCTTACTGAAGTCCAAGTAAATTATATCCACAGCACTTCTCTGGTCCACTAATTTTGTCACCTGGTCAAAGAATGCAATAAGGTTTGTCTGGCATGATCTGTTTTTGACAAACCCATGTTGGCTTTTGGTAATGAGTTTGTTTGCCTCTAGGTCTTCGCTGATTCGTTGCTTGATAATCTTTTCCAGAATCTTCCGAGGTATTGAGGTCAGGCTGATAGGTCTGTAGTTTCCTGGATCCATTTTTTCCCCTTTTTTGAAGATGGGAACTACATCAGCTCTTTTCCAGTCCTCTGCTAGTTCCCCAATGCTCCAGGATCTTTGAAAGATATAGTTCAGTGGTTCTGAGATCACATCTGCCAGTTCCTTGAGACCCTTGGGGTGTAGTCCATCTGGTCCTGGTGATTTGAACTTGTCTAGGGTGGACAGATGCTCACTTAGTCATTTTCTTGCCTATCTTAACTTGTGTTTCTAATCTGTTTTTTACGGGACTATTTTTGATAGGTTGGACTGTTTTTCCTTTTGTGTAAATACAGATGCAAAAAAATGAGTTGAGTAGTTCTGCTTTCTCCCAGTTGCTTGTCACCTTCTTGCCACTTTCCCCCACTAATGGAGCAATCATTTTCTTAACTGTTTTCTTGTTTTTTACATTTTGAAAGAAGCTTCTTTGTTATTTGCTGAAATTGTCAATTTATAATGCATTGAATCACTGTTATTGGGTAATTATATTCACAGATGTGTTTGGAATCTTGTGGATAATTGAGACATATTGTGTAAAAGGAAGAATATGCTACCTTAAAATATGTGGGTGTAGGTTTGTATATGTGTGTTTCTGTGTGTGTGCAATACTGCCATATCAACCCAAAAGTAAATAAGGCCAAAGGGAAAGAAGTAAAAACATCCAGGCTGAAACCCACATTAGAAATAAAATTATCATGTACAGTACATCTATAGCCCTCCCTCAGGAGATCAAAGAGAAATGTTTAGTTAAATCAAATATTAATCTCTTTCTCATTCATTTTCAGCTGTGGAATGGCTAACCAGAACCAAACAGACAACTCAGAAATAACCCTTTTGATGATCTCCAGTAGACCTGAATATCAGAGACTCTTCTTCCTGCTTTTTCTGTCTATTTATTTGTTGACCCTTCTAGGGAATATTCTCATTGTCTTGCTTATCCGCTTAGACAACCGTCTCCTTCGGTCCCCGATGTACTTCTTCCTAAGCCATCTCTCCCTGGCTGACATCATTTTTGTTTCCACTACTGTTCCTAAAATCTTGATAAATTTGATGTCTCAGACTCAGACCATCACCTTCAATGAGTGCTTGACCCAGATGTATTTCTTTCTCGCCTCTGGTAACACAGATAATTTCCTCCTTGGCTGCATGGCTTATGACCGCTACGTGGCTGTCTGTCATCCTTTGCATTACGTCACTGTGATGAGCCACAGGTGCTGCCTATTTTTGGTTTCTGGATCCTGGATCGTTTCCGGTCTCCACTCTTTACTCTATACACTTTTGATTTCACGCCTTTCTTTCTGTACCTCTGTGGAAGTCCCCTATCTTTTCTGTGATGTCTATCCTCTCCTGGAATTCTCCTGTTCTGATACAAGGCATATAAAGTTCTTGGCACAGACGGAAGGGGTGGTGGATTTGCTGGGACCTTTAGCTGCCATCATTGTCTCCTATGCGCTAATATTCTCCACAATCATAAAAATTCCCTCAACCGCTGGGAAATACAAAGCAGTTTCCACCTGTGGCTCACATCTGGCTGTGGTGATCTTGTTCTACAGCACTATCAGTTGCCTTTATTTCCAGCCTCCCTCTGCGTATTCAGCCCAAAAAGGCACTTTTATCTCTC